TTACTATTCACCCTTGGACTTTTGGCCATTAAAGTTCCGCCTAATTCTACCAAATTCGCCAAACAAGCTCAATCCACTCGCAAGAACCCCACGATTCTTACGAGCTGGGGGGGCTAACTGTTGGGGTAAAAATCGGTACGACGGAATCAATAGACAAAATTCCCCGCAAAAATACAAAAGGAATAGTTTTCTAATACCGAGAAGCCGTTTTATAAAATCGAAGCCGTTTTATAAAACTCAAAGATCGTTTCATAAAACTCAACGATCGTTTTATAAAACTCGAGAAGCCGTTTTATAAAACTCGAAGCCGTTTTATAAAACTCGAAGATCGTTTTATAAAACTCGAGAAGCCGTTTTATAAAACTCAAAGATCGTTTTATAAAACTCAAAGATCGTTTTATAAAACTCGAGAAGCTGTTTTATAAAACTCTAAGATCGTTTTATTAAACTCGAAGATCGTTTTATTAAACTCGAAGATCGTTTTATAAAACTCAAGAAGCCGTTTTATAAAACTCGAGAAGCCATTTTATAAAACTCGAAGCCGTTTTATAAAACTCGAAGATCGTTTTATAAAACTCGAGAAGCCATTTTATATAACTCAAAGATCGTTTTATAAAACTCAAAGATTGTTTTATAAAACTCGAGAAGCCGTTTTATAAAACTCGAAGATCGTTTTATAAAACTCGAAGATCATTTTATAAAACTCGAGAAGCCGTTTTATAAAACTCGAGAAGCCGTTTTATAAAACTCGAAGATCATTTTATAAAACTCGATGATCGTTTTATAAAACTCAAGAAGCCGTTTTATAAAAATCGAGAAGCCGTTTTATAAAACTCGAAAAGCCGTTTTATAAAACTCGAACATCGTTTTATAAAACTCGAGAAGCCGTTTTATAAAACTCGAAGATCATTTTATAGAACTCGAAGATCGTTTTATATAACTCGAGAAATCGTTTTACAAAACCGCGAAAAACCGAAAAAGCCTCAAAACGCGAATTAGTCACGACTAATTCGCCTGCTGGCGAACTAAGCCTAGCTGGCTTAGTTCGCCAGCAGGCGAACTAGAGGCTCACCAACTAGTTCGCCAGCTGGCGAACTAGACGGTCCTGGACTAGTTCGCCTGCTGGCGAACTAAGCCAGCTTGGCTTAGTTCGCCAGCGGGCGAACTAGAAGCTTCCAACTAGTTCGCCTGCTGGCTTAGTTCGCCAGCAGGCGAACTAAGAACCCCTCGGCTAGTTCGACTGCTGGCGAACTAGAGACCTCTCGGATCCCCCGCAGCCCTGATTCGAGCCTTACGTCCTTGGACACGGTCATATTCTGAACCACGGTCGAAATGTCTCTTGTTTCGTCTCAATCCGACTTATCGTTCGAATTCTAGGATAAAAACCGTAAAACTCCGTTTTCTCGAAAAGAACTCGAAGAAATCGTATAAAACGGTAACGGTCAAGTAAAACACCGAACATCGCCTAAACTATACGATTTATACGAGATTTTTCGTTAAGATTATAAAAAATGCATTTTCAATAAAAAACGTCGAGAAGATCGTAAAAAACGGCATCGGATCAGGAAACGGTCTCGTATAAAGTCATAAAACGGTTTTTATCGTAAAACGGCCCAAAAGGTCCTAAAACACGATAAAAACCCATCTCGCGATATTAACGAAATCAAACCCGAATATACGATAACATTTTGGTGGTTTACTCGCGGACAGAAGATAAAAGGCAAGTTTGAAGATAAATAGAAGATTTCCGCGGAAGAAAAGGAAGGATCGACAGAAATGGAAAGTTCCCAATATATTGGTTTCGAGCGAAATGGAAAGACTAAAACCGCCTAAGGATGAGTATATAAGGAGGAGGCATAGGGCAGAAGCTGGGACACGATTTTCAGAGCTCTCACCACCAAAATTAGCATTTAGGAATATTTCCGTTTTCTGTTAGCGAGCTGCGTCTCAATTAGGGTTTTCCGTTCTTAAGTTTTCGGCTACTCTTTTTGTACCAGTTCTTACACAGATTCGGAATAAGAATGTCTTTGCTCTCGATTTCGTTTACTCTTTTAAAAATTCTAAGTTTATCGTTATCTTAATCTTCGTTGTGCGGTTCTGCAGATAGCCGGTTCCTCTGGAAACTTAGGGTTTTCCCGAAGTTTCCTTTTTTACGATTTATTGACAGTACGTGGATTTCGGTTCCCACACCAAATTTGGACTGAACGTGACTCGCTTCTTCTTCTCTTTTTCTGTACTCTTCCCTTTATCAGCACTTGTCAGACCACTCTGCACCTCCACTGAATCTGCCTTTTTCTGAGAATCTTTATAGACTTCTTCCTCATGAAAAATAACATTTCTGCTAATAGTACATCTGCCTTCTTCTGGTAACCAGACCCTAAAACCCTTTGTCCCTTGAGGATAACCGACAAAGAATCCTTTAACAGCTATAGGACTCGTCTTTTCCCCAACCTGGTGAACATAAGCAGCCGAACCAAACCTCCTCATATGCTTAATACCTGGTTTAGAACCTGACCACAACTTTTCTGGTAGCTTGTACTCAATATCAGAACTAGGTGACCTGTTGATTAAGTAGACCGCAGTAGAAGCAGCTTCAGCCCAGAATATTTCCTCCATACCACTCTCAGCCAACATACACCTAACCCTTTCCATGATAGTACGATTCATCCTTTCTAAAACCCGGTTCTGTTGCGGTGTATAAGCACACGTGCGATGTCTCTTAACCCTTGTAGCTTTACAGAACTCATCAAACCTTCTATTACAATACTCCAAACCATTATTTGTTCTTAAACATTTCAGCTTCTTCCCAGTCTGAGTTTCAACCTCTACTTTCCATTCCTTGAATCTGTCAAAAGCTTCATCCTTGGTCTTTAGAAAATAGATCCAGACTTTCCTAGAGTAATCATCAATGAACGTAATGAAGTATTGTTTCTCAGCCAAACTTGGAACTACCGTAGGAGCTCCCCCATATGTCTGAATGAACATAGTCCAGAATTTCCTTAGACGAATGTTTTCCCTTCTTAAAGCTCTGTTTATGTGCCTTTCCCAACACGCAATCTTCACAGAACCCTGGCGTATCAATACCTTTGGTTTCCAGATATCCTTCTTTAACAAGTAAGTCAAGCCCTTTCTGACTTATATGTCCCAACCTAGAGTGCCACTTCTTTGTCGTACTGACTTTAGGAACTGCTGAATGACTCTCACCCTTTAGAACAGATCCTTCCAAGTAATACAGACCATCTGAATACTTTCCCTTAGAACTTCCTTTCCATCCTTGAAGAACTTAACTTTGTATCCTCCACCTTCATAAGTGCAACCAGCCTTCTCTAAACATCCGTATGATATCAAGTTTCTACCCATTGTAGGCATGAACCTTACATCAGTAAGAATCACTATAGAGCCATCTTTTTTCTTGATACGTACTTTTCCAACTCCCTCTATCTCACTGAACGTATTATTTCCCATCAGAACTTTCCCTCTGCTAGCTTCCTTAAGATCAAACAAAACCTCCTTGTTTGGTGTAATATGAAAGCTTGCTCCTGAATCCAAAACCCACTCATCTCGAGTGTCTTAGATACTGGCAGTAAGAATTAAAGGTTCCTTCTTAGTGTTTTTAGCTGATGCAACATTCACTGAGCTAGAGCTAGAACCTTTAAACTTTCCCTTATCGGGACACTCTCTCTTCCAATGTCCTTCTTTACCACAAATGAAACAACCTTTGTTCTTCTTGCTGGACTTAGGCTTGGAGTAATCTTTACTTCTTAACTTAGACCTTCCTCTTGAGTAGCTTCCTCTCTTATCAGATCTTCCCCGGTCCCCTGCATACAATCCTTCAGCATCAGACTTAGACTTTCCAAGAGAACCTTTCTCCCTTAGCTCGGTTTCTTTTGAGTATGCTGCAGATATAACATCATTGACTGTAAGCGTATCCTTCCCACTGCCGTACTTTAGAGTATGGACTAAAGGTTCATACTTTAGGAGGTAAACCGGTAAGGATCTGAATAGCCTGGTCTTCATCAGAAATTTTAATCTCTAAACTCTCAAGATCATTTACTAGCTTCAAGAAAACATCAAGGTTTTGCTCAATAGACTTCTGCTCATCCATCTTGTAGCTAGCAAACCTTTGCTTAAGATAAATTCGGTTAGGAAGAGATTTAGTTTGATAATCCCTTTCTAACGCCTTCCAAATACCAAGTGCTGAGGTCTCCTTCATCACCTTCCTTATGATCTGGTCACTCAGACTCATTTGAATCAAGCTACGAACTCGCTTATCTTTCAAAGCATGTTTAGGATCAACTTTGACCTCAGTACCTGCCTCAGCCTTCTCACCATCGCTATCTGTTTCTGTTACCTCCTCAAGAACAGAATCCAGACCTAAAATCTCAAGAGCACAATACATCTTGTGCTTCCAACACTACAAGAAAACACCTCGATTCCTAGGGACATTTTCCTCGGAATGTCGTCGGAATCAAGCGACGACATTCCGAACAAAAAGTCCCTCGGAAAAATCTCCTCGGAATCACAGTATTCGTCGGAATTTCCTCGGAATATTCCGAGGACATTCCGACGGACAAAATTCCGAGGACATTCCGAGGAATCTTTTCGATGGAATCATTGGTCGGAATTCCCACGGAAATTTCCGAGGGAGGAAATTACTTGGAATTTTCCCAGGAAGCAGTCCGTCGGAATATTCCGAGGACTTCTAAGCCTCGGAAAATTCCGAGGAAAGACGTTCCTCGGAATAATCCGACGGATGGTCTTCCTGGGAATATACCTAGGAAATTCCGAGGAATGGTATCCCTCAGAATATTCCGAGGAATATCATTCCTCGGAAAATTCATAATATTTAATTTTTGTAAAATAATATAAATTTATTTTTTTAAAATTAAAATTCGAAAATAAAATTAAAATTTTTTAAATTAAAAATTGAAATTCAAATAAAAAACATAATATAGATAATGTTAAAAAGTAATATTCAAAACAGAAACAAAAAATAAAATTCAAAACAGAAATTCTAAACAGAAACAAGAAATAAAAAGAACTACTCCTCGTCGTCGTCGTCGAAGTTATGGTCTGGGAATTTCTCAAGAACGCCTCCATCATCCTCTCACTCTGCCTCCTTTCTGCCTTACTAGCAGCCTCTTGAGCCGCCATCTTCGCCTCCAACATAGCGATGCAGTCATCCTTATCCTTCAGTTGATCTATCAGCATAGGATCATATGGCACCTGGGATGTAGAAGGAATCGGCTTGGATCGACGACCCAAACCGACCAAACGTCCCTTCTTCTTTGGAATCGCCTGAAAAAGAAAATTTAAAATTATAATCATAGAAAAAAGTTCATAAAATAAATAAATGAATTGAATATTTAGAAAATATCTTACCGATACAAGAAGCTCGTCGATTCGAACTTTGGAGAGGGGAGTCGATGCAGTGGATGTGGAGTCGAGATTGGCCTGGATCTGGGAGAGACGGGCCTCTTCGTCTTCCCTCATACTGTCCACCAGGGAGACCACTTCCTCCGCAAGACCGTCATCAATCTGGCCCGTCGTCTTGTTGGTGTGGATCCTCTCGTACAAATCGAAATCACCCACGTTCTCGCCATCATTTTCTTCCGCCTAGGAAAACACATACGTTAAAAAAACATTAGAATACAGAAAAAATAAAAATATTTAAAATTTAGAAGAAAAGGAGTTTCAACTTACCAATTTGTCTGCGAGAGTGGGAATAGACTGAGCACCCAAATTGTGCACGAAGATGCCCTTCTCGCCACGATCGCTCTTGCGGTTGGTGGAGTTGGTGTTAGAGATCTCCTTCGTCTCGGTCTTGTTCCAATGGATACACAACTCCTGCCAGACCGTCGTGTTGATCGACTTTGGGATCTTTTAATGAAAAAAAAATATGAAAAAGTTAAATAGAATGAAAAATATATTAATAAAGTAAAAAAGATAGTACCTTATGCTTGAGCCACTTCTGCTTGCACTCATATATTTGCCTTCCATAGTTCTCCATACACTTATGGACGAAGGCGTTACGGATGAACGTCGTGTTATCGGGATGCCAGGTGAACTCTTGCTGAAAAAAACATGATTAGTAAAAATATAATATTAAAGAAATTTAAAAAAGTTAGAATTCTTACAGAAAACTGACGAAACCACAACTCCTTCTCGTTGTCAGGCATCACCGAGAAGGTTTTGTATCCCCTCCTGAGGTCGGAGTACATCATCCTGTTGATCCTAGCGCTGATCCCGTTATGGGATCGGTCGAACCTAATATTAGAAACAAATTATTAATAATGAATCAATTTTTTAAAAGAAAGAAAAAAAAACTTTCACTTACCAAGTCTGACTGTGTCCCCTAGGATACTGAGTGAGATAGGGGAGATGCTCACGACCTAGCTGTTGCACCAGCTGTGCAACAGACATCACTCCTGGAGCGACATGAGGCTCGGGAATGTCTGGAAACTCGTGAACGACAGGAGGAGCCTCATCAGCGATCGGAGGAACCGCCTGATGAACCGGAGCGGGATGGATGTTCTGCGATGCTGAAGAGGAACCCCGAGACCGGTTGGACGAAACCCGAGAAGGGGTCGTCGAAGGACCACTACCTCGCGGTGCGGAACGACGAGGTCGAGCCCTCGTACTCTGCTCACCAGAATCCCTATAATTTTTTTAAAATAAAGATTTAAAATTAGTTTTTAAAAATATAAATGAAAAATTAAGTATTAAAAGAATATTTAAATTAATATAGAAATAATTAAAAAATAAAAATTGTTATAAAAATACAAAAATAGTTTCATAATTAAAAAAAATATTTATAAATTATAAAAATGGCTAAAATAATTATTAAATTACTTTTAAACTTATTTATAAATTATAAAAATGGCTAAAATGATTATTAAATTACTTTTAAACTTACTTATAAATTATAATACTTTTAAACTTACTTATAAATAATAAATTATAAAAATAATTATAAATTATAAAAATGGCTAAAATAATTATTAAATTACTTTTAAACTTATTTATAAATTATAAAATGGCTAAAATAATTATTAAATTACTTTTAAACTTACTTATAAATTATAAAAATTATTTTAATAATTATAAAAATCCAAATATATATTTTAATATCAAAAACGTTTTGGTAATTGCAAAATTGAATTTTAAAAACAAAATCAAATTCCCTAAAACCTAATCAAAATCAAATTCCCTAAAACCTTATCAAAATCAAATTCCCTAAAACCTAATCAAAATCAAATTCCCTAAAACCCTAATCTAAATCAAATTCCCTAAAACCTAACAATCCTAACAATCTAATAAACCTAACAATCTCAATCCTAACAATCTAATAAACCTAACAATGTAAATCTAACAATCTAATCTCAATCCTAACAATCTAAATTCCCTAAAAACGTAAGAAAATCGGATCTAGAACTTACATGGGGATTAGGAACGGATTTAGAGGGGATTCGCCGGAAAATCGCAAGGGAGGAGAGGAATCGCCGGAAAATCGGAAGGGAGGAAGAGAGAAAAGAGAGAAAGAGAGAATGGGGAAGAAGAAGAACAGTCTCAGGTTTAAAACCTGAAAATTCCGAGGGAAAATGAATCCCTCGGAATTCCGTCGGAATCACGAAAATTCGATTTTTAGCGAAAATTTTGGCGGTTTGGTTTCTGGTTAATGAAAATTTCCCATGGAATTCCGACGGAATTTCGAATTTCTTAGGAATTCCCTTGGAATTCTCTAGAATCAGAGAATATTCTCTGCATGTGTTCCTATTGGTCAGGCTGTTCCTCGGAATTTCCTAGGAAATTTCTTAGGAAATTCCGAGGAACCATAGTTTAGGGTTTCAAAATCAAAAATTTAAAACCTTAGACCATTCCTTGAACAATTTAGCAGTTTTTCCTTGGGTAACATTGACAATAGATGCCAAATAAACATTGAAATTACAAAATTATTGAAATGAGTGCAAGTATTGTCGTTTCTGTTCATTAAAGTGTATAAGGGTTTATCTTGTTGTTTGGGGATCTCGTTGATACAATCGGAAAAGTGTCTATTAATTGGTACAACACCAATGTCTTGTCCCATAATCAATCCAGGACACTTAATAAGGCTTATGAAAGTCTTGTGGAAATTGTAAATCGGTGTTTTCGATTCTAAATTATCATTCCCTCGGAATTTCCTAGGAATATTCCTAGGAAGTTCCGACGAAATGATGGTTTTCCTCGGAATTTCTTAGGAATATTCCTAGGGAATTCCGAGGGAATTAAACCCTAAGATCAAATCCCTAAATCCGATTTTTACAAGGCAATATTGCTAGGAAATTCTGAGGAAAACCCTGCAGGTCCTCGGAATTTCCTCGAAATTTTGAAAAAAAAAAAAAAACTATACTACTTTGAACCCGAGTCATCATCATCACCACCAGATGAATCTGAATTTGGATCTTGGTGAAACTCTCCAATCTCTGGTTCATCCTCGACGTGAACGACGGCTTCGTCTCCAAAATCGGTAAAATCGATAACAAGATCAACTGCAGCTACATCTCCTACTGCACTTAAGTTGCTGGATGTGTTTGGTTGGAGTGGGTCTTCCAGCTCAGAACTTCCCTGAACTCGGCTTCTCGGGTTGAGTGATGTAACAGTGACCCATGGATCATCTCTGTTCGTAACCCGGGGGTACTTGATATAACAAACCTGTAACATTTTAAATTTGTTAATTAATGATGATGAAGAAAATATTGAAAATAATTGACTTCTATATTTTTAATTACCTGATCGGCCTGAGAAGCAAGAATGAAAGGATCATAATATGGCAGCTTTCGCCTCGAATGTACTGATGTAACACCAAATGCATCTGTTCTAACACCTCGATCCGGAGTGTTGTCGTACCAATCACAATATAAAACAGTGCACCGCAATCCAACCATGCCCGGATACATGATTTCCAAAATCTCGCTTATGTTTCCGTAGTATACATCATCTCCAGATGCAGAGCAAACACCAGCATCATAAGTCGTACTCGAACGTCTCCTCTTAGAAGTTGTGAATGCATATCCCCGAGAAGCAAATCTCGGATATGACTTCACCACATACTTTGGGCNCCAAAATCTCGCTTATGTTTCCGTAGTATACATCATCTCCAGATGCAGAGCAAACACCAGCATCATAAGTCGTACTCGAACGTCTCCTCTTAGAAGTTGTGAATGCATATCCCCGAGAAGCAAATCTCGGATATGACTTCACCACATACTTTGGGCCCCACACCATCTCGCGTAGCCAATCGTCAAATGTTTCACCTCTAGCCATACCATAAGACACCTATTAATAAAACATATGTTTTATCTCTCATATTAGTATAAAAATGTGGTAAATAGTATAAAAGTTTGTTTAAAGCACTCACATAAGTAAGCATCCATCGAGCAAATTCTCTCTGCTTCAGTGCTTCTAGTTCCTGTTCTGTGGCGTATCTATTTTCGAACCGCTTTTCCGCCATGAAAATCATGTACATATGATGACAATATTAAAATTTAAACTTGTTAAAATAAATATTTTTGAGCTAAATTTTTTACCTCTCATATTGAAGAACATCTTCGCAGTTGGTGAGCAAATATATTTGCAATTGACTGTGCTCCTCCTCAGTAAGTCGACGGTTCTTTGCTTTTCCGCTGAGTCGTCCAACATCTGTGAAGATGTCTGGAACCGTAACATAATATGTTGCCCTTTCGCCTCTATCGTCATGCCGAGCGGGTTTTCTGGTTTTCGTCTGCACTTCTCCTGGAAAGTAGTGCTCCGCAAAGTTTGAAGTTTCTGCTCTGATAAACTGTGCCACTATAGAATCTTCCACCCTACTTAAATTTTTCACCATCTTCTTCAGATGAAACATATACTGCTCATACAGATACATCCATCTATACTGCACAGGACCACCAAGTTCCAGTTCTCTTGGCAAGTGAATAACAAGATATTCCATAACATCAAAAAAGGAAGGAGGAAATATCTTCTCAAGGTTGCACTTGATCACGGCTATGTTAGTCTTCAAGTTTTCAATACATTCAGGAGTCACTGATCTCGTGCATAAATCGCGGAAGAAAGCACTTATCCCTGCAACTGCTTCATAAACATTCTTTGGTAATAGTTCCTTGAAGGCAAACGGAAGGAGGTGCTGCATCATTACATGGCAATCGTGACTCTTCAAGCCGGTAAACTTTCCTTCG